GGTACCAAAAAGCATATGATAATGGTCATGATAGAGCGGCAGAATTAGTTGAATCTTTTAATTTTGAAGAAGTTAATGCTTTTGTTCATTGGTAATTGCAGTATATCTATGTAACTTTTTTTATTCATACGATATACATGTAATAGTTTGCACAATATGTAAAACAAGCAGAGCTTAACGTTAAAGTAATTTTTACGTAAATACTGTATTTCTTTTCCTTTTTTTAAATCATTCTCGTCTTTTTGTATACCGATTCCATTTTGATTACACCAATCAAGATTACAGTGTCCTGATTTCAAATACTGTACCATTCAAATGCTTTTTTTTGTGTTCCTATCGCTATACTTTTTTTGATAATGTCTTTAATTCGATTTTATCTAACCCGATGTCGTTTTATTTTGTTCGTCAAGTGTTTATTCTTATTTATAAATTATATTGTTATTAAAAATTAGATTTCGTTGAAGATATATTTCCACATCAATAAAAAATAATAACAAGTTGTTTATTTCGGATTTTTCAGAATAACGGATTAAAAAATATAATGCTATATAGAAATTCTATTCGTTAAACTATATGAAGATAAAAAAATAAATTTAAGAGAGAAGATTTTTATATTCTAGGAAAATTAATTAATTATCTTCATACTTTTTATTGAACATCTAATAAAAAAAGCTCAACCTGCAAAAGGATAATAATTAGCAGAAAAGATATTGTAAATATATTCCTGTCAAATGAATAAATATCAGATAAGTAGGAAACCGAATTAACTTCACGTCATACAGTCACCACAAAAGTATCAAACTAACCTCTAAATCATGCAAAAATAAAAAAAATTAAATACGTAAAACTTTCACCATTACATTTACGTACGTACATAGTCACTAGATGTTGAGATATCGCCAAATATTGTTAATTTGGTCACTGAAGGACGATGACCCGATTCATACATTTTCGTTTGTCAAGATATTACGTCATATGTGACCAAATTAATGGTTATCATTGCCATTTGACACTACGTAATAGAGACCAATATTTTGCATTAGAATAAGGGTTCATTATGCAGTTTAAACTAAAAAAAAAATACGTATATATTTTTTTATTTTTGATTTTTGATTCAGAGGGTCGGACACTTGCGGTTGATTGTATATCAAATAATCTATTGGACGCTCGGTGATGTTATACGTATTCAGAAAATTCTATTCTAAGTCGAGAATGTTACTGTCAACGAAATGTAAAGAGTATTACGTACTACGTATAACGAGCGTCAACCATAAAAAGAGAACATGAAAAGTTCACTACTTTGTGCAAAGCTCGTTTTAAAGCAATAAAAAACTTTAACGTTAATACAGTAAAATAGGTTACGTAATTAGGATTGTAATAACGATAAAAAAAAAGCTCAGCGTCAAATTTTACGTTTTTTCTTATTTCAAAGCTTTTTTTGCATATAACGCAGTAAATATATATATATATCCGCAGCCGCAGAAAATGTCCAACGATAAAAGCCTAATATAACGATGATGTGAGTGCTGTGGAAGTTGACGTTGACCAGAGAAACTATATGGCTCTTAATCTCAACTTGGACAGTCTTGCACCTATTTTTAAAGAAGAATTCAGTGAACTTCGAAATGTCGAACGGAGTGATATAGAGTTTTTTATCTATTGTCACACCAAACCTCTTTTATCGGATGTTTCTCTTGCAGGTCTGACTACAACTGCCGCATCGTCACTCGTCATCCGATACCCGCTGTCTGATTCTAGCTATGCTCATTAGTTTCCGTCCAGTCAAAATTCAAATTAGATTTTGGCGTAATTCTACCGAATACTGAATATCGTAGTCCAGTGGCTCGTGGCATCGTCTTTGTGAAATTACTATATTGTCAACAAGTGCCTTCGATTTTACTGTGCAAGACAATTCAGAAGAGATTGAAGACGAGTATCAAGAACAAAACCGAACGAAAATAACGCGCGTGTACTGAATCTGAAAGTCCGAATCAAGGGCAAAAAAGCGTACGATGAATGGAGTTTCCAGGGATATATAATAATCAATTTGATTCCCTCGATTCGATGCCGACGTTCAAAGTAGAGACCACTGGATAACGAAGAACACTTTATTAAGTAACACTGTTTCCAGTAATAAAGTAACGGCGCGAGAATTTATTTCGGTCTTTATGACAATATCAATAAAGCATGTCCGGACGCATAGAAACCGTGGCTATGGATTACTTGGATGATATGCGAGAGTCTCTTTGTCCCCGATAAAAAAAATCTAAGATGACAGGAATTGAAAAAGGAGTCGCACAAAATCTAGTACAAATCTACACAATGCAGTCGAGGTAAGACCTCTTGTTCATCTTGTTTTGCGACTAACGATGATGTTTACCTTTAGGCAAGCGAAACTAGGAAAAACAGGATCAAATTCCCAGGATCGACTTTTAATGTACATACACAAACAAATACGTATTGACATTTAAAATGACTTTATTTATTACTATTACAGAAATCTCTACTCAGCTAAAAAAAATACACATGACATGTACATGTACTTACTAAACACATCTTGAAAATTTATGTACTATCGCTATCAAAAGAACTCCAATGAACAATTTGTGGTGGCGGTGGTGTGAATATTCCATTGTCATTACTATTATAATTATTGCAATCTTGTAAAAAATAAAAATTATTTTCACCACCTCGATTAGAGCAGCTGACAGAAGAGGATGATTGATTCCCGTTATCATTGCAAGCAGCAGAATTCGTGGATGGATATTGAAATTCTTTGTTATTTTCATCATCTAATACTTCATGAAAGTCTAAAGGTGTCACGTAATTCAAATCTGACCAAGTGAAGTGTGGTGGTTCATCGGGTGTTGGTAGATCGATTATTGGGCTCGTCGTAGTAATTTCATAATGGAATGAATATGGTGGTTGTGATTCTCCAATTCTATTGGACAAGTAAGACGACGACGGCGAGGAAGAATTCAAAGAAGAATCAAATGATGGAAAATGATACTCTGAGCCAGTTGTTGGCGATGGATGGGATGTTGGCGTATCAGGTAATAAATGGCTTAAAATGTGGGTGGTATTGAATACGTCTTCGAAAGAGGAGGAATGAAGGGTAGAAAATGGAATTTCAGGTAAAGTATCATTGAATTGAGTATACATTTGATTATTGTTGTCGTTGTTACTACTACTGCTCCTGCTACTACTACTATTATTATTATTACTATTACTATTATTATTATTATTATTGACAAATGCTACAGTGTAGACTTTACTATCATTATTCTCATCACCATCATCATCATTATTATATGTATCCTCGTTCGATGACAATACTATACGAGTCGAAGGCTCAACCATTGAAAAGTTATTTTCCCATATAAATTTTTCGTTCTTCTCTATTGAACTATTATTTCTTAAAGGACAAGGAGAATCAGCAGCAACATCCTCAGAACTGATGATAGAAGCGAAAATAATTTCACCACCATTCGGAGACATATAAGTTCTCCAATCACGTTCAGTGTCTCCCAGCATATTGCGACGCATCTCTAACAAAATGGTCGAGCAATCCTGCGCAAGTCTACGATATTGATTCTGAACAACCGTTGGTTCACCTTCCCAAGCTTTTGATGCCAATGCCGAAACATCTTGTTGTTTATATTTGAATCCGCTTGCACGTAACATTTTTACAAATTCACGACGATAGATTATAAACGCATTTGGTGGTTTACTAGGAAAATTGCCGTCTTTTTTCTTTACGATTATGTCTGTCGGTTTCAAGTCTATTGGGAGTGGAACAGAGACGTTTAGATTTATTGGTGATAATTGTTGCTGTTGGTGTTGTGGGTTTGATGATCTCTTTGTTCTCGTTTTTGTTGTTCTTGTTGATTTACGATTCTTGTTGTCATTCTCTGCCGTCATGATTATAATATTATTGTTGTTGTTATTGGTATATTTATTTATGTATTATTATCATTCGTTTCGTTAAGGAACTAAAAAATTTCCTTTCCTCTTTGAGTGAATTCTCCTAGTTTTATACCGAAAAAATTCCCAAGGAAAAAACAATACTATATATAGGTATGATGATATGATAAGATATGATAAATAGTTTCCGTAGTGTATATGAAATGATGTGGATCGTGAGCTTATAGAAAAATGAATACGTAATAGATTGACCGGAACAAATTTCGAGTGGTTGTCGGGATATCTTTTTAAGTGCATCGCCACATCATTTTTTCGACAACGTTGATAAAATTCTCAGGATTCTGTGATTAGCACTGTAAAATTCACATGACACGTAAATAGATTATGCTATTTTACATGCCAACTTTAACCTAACCCCAATGATTTTAAAGCTTTGCACTGGGTAACTTTATGAATACCCATAAGATTTGATGTCATCAACGGACGGATTACTTCAAAAATCAGGATAACGAAGAATTCTAATCCTAATTCATCTGATGTCGCGTGGTTCCTTTCTTTCTTAGATAATACAAAGACACAATTACCAAATCCTTGCGAAATACGTAAGCCACTTTACCATTTAACAATTGACCATCGGATCAAATTTCTGAAATAATACTAGTGTATGGCTTGATTTATGGGCTTGGCGTTTTATCTGAATTCGCAAAATTTTTAGGAAATTAGTCATATGGCAATATATATAAATAAACAGAGAAGGTATAAAATTTGGTCGTCGTTGTTGTGAAGCTTGTTTTTTCGTTGAAATTCAGGTTCTCTTTATACGCTATTAGAGAGACCAGACCAGATTATCAATTTAGAAGATCAAAAACGCAATACTGATTACAGTAACAAAAAACAAGCTTATTTTTTTTTAATGACGTTGTCATTAATTAAATCTCGTTAGATCAAAGAAGCATCGTATATTTGCTCAGTTGTTTGGGGAATTCAAAAGTCTCATTCGAATTCTTTGCGGATAATCAGAGCAAAATGAAGCAAGGAAAATAATAAGAGAAATTTCGTCTTTTTAAAGATTGATTATCTTAATTGCACATTGTTCTCGTATATATATAACATAAGAAAGATAATAAGGTTTTTCCTAATAAATTTCTTCTTCAAAGTCCGTGAATAAAAAAATACATCTTTCTTCTCTATTTTTGTAAGGGTTCCAGTTTCTCAATTTCAGGGCTAGAAAACTCGACTAGAATAATTACATTGATAAATGGAATAAATCCCGCCTGTTTAGTTAATTGGTAAACTTTCCATTTTCTAATTAATAGCTATATGGCATTCATTTAGCGTTAGAGAATATGCATCTTCTAAATCATCGTCATGATATTTAATTGAAAAATTATGAGACCTGCATACCATCATATTTTATATGCATGTAATTCTCATTATGTTATACGTAATAAACTACTATTATATACATTTGTCAATATATTACGATACTTAAAAAGAGTGTCCGAATACAATGGAAATTCCAGCTAGACTACAACTTTACAGATGTGACATGCGATCATCGGACCGTTCATATCCTATGCATCCAACTTACTCCTGAAGTAGCTACGGCCAACGGTAGTGTCCTTCACCTCCATCTTGGCCTATCTAGATTGTTGGAACCGTTCTAGGCGTTTATTGTTAGAGTGTAGCATTTCTAGGCGTTCACCATTGTTGGTTCATATGGAGGAACAGAAGGCGGATGTTACGCGCAACATTTATGTCACGCTTCCAGAGGGTCTGAAAGAAAAGCGTTAAAAATAAAGCTTGGGAAGTTGCAAATTTATGGCAAATCAGATGAAACTTACCAAACTTCTGTTCTTGCATACTTTGAGCGGCCAGAATCATCACATATTGAACACACAATGCTTGTCTACAAGTCGAACTCTCTACTCCCAACCTCCGCCTCAACTCTCAGTATAGGCCCTTGACCGGTCTAGATGCATGTCCTTGAGAGCTACTTGAAAACCTTCAATCTCCATGTTCTTGGATTTTTATCAGTGACATCTTGTCATAAGCTCAAGTACGATTGATGTATAGACGACGCTAGCGGATGGCTACATGAAACTCAAAGGGCATCACGATGAGTGAAAATTAATGCAATTCTATATCATGTCATGATTATGACGTATCAAAATTGCAACTTTTCATGAAAACGACAGAAGTCGTATGTTGTATATTATATATTATATTCAGAAATGTAATTTAACTAGCATTATTATAACTTACTACTTATATTCTTAATATTACCATACAGTATATTACCAAGAAATTTGCATCTAGATGATTTTTATGCCAAGCATTCAATTTTACTTATTTTATTTTCGAATAGATTTGCCTAAAGTTACAGTCCCGCGGGGACCGTAAATAGGGTAACTGCATTAAATCTTAAACCAATTATATTTTCAATTCACTTTTAAATTATCGTTTTCAGAAAGCATCAGTTTTCAATTACCCCTTCGAAGTTCTCTGCAAACAAATATTCAACTTAATTTTTGATTTTAGTGTTAAATTATTACTGTTAAAATAAAAAGTTATTGATACCTGTTAAACATTGGCCTCGAATATTTAATATATTAATATACAATTAAACCGACCAGGTTTTTCTTCGATTTAATGGGAGTTGACTACAGTCAAACATCGATATAATGAAGTGGTCTGGGCTGTTAATAAATTCGGTTTATCGAGGTGTATTTACTATAACCGTTTCTGGAACCAACTTCGGTGTGTGATTTTTTGAAAAAGAAAAAATTTTTAATAAGTAACGATTGAAAGAAATTTACTTTTTGAAATGCCCCTGAGTCATTATACCTCGAAAAATCAAGACTTAACGTTAAACTATTCTCTTTCTATGTCAATCCAGGCTTGAATGCGGATTGAAATACCAAAACAGCATATATATAGTAACTTTTGTATCGAAATTTTTATTTAATTTCATGCCCTCTATTTTTTAATCAATACATACAATACATATACTGCAGTTTAGAATGCAAAAAGTTCCGCTGAACATTTTTACATAATGAATGAAGCTTATTGAGATAGTAAAATTTTAAGTAATCGCAATTTAAAGGAATCGATTCTATAATTGATAATTACCAAAATTCTGTCCAAATTAGAATATGTATTACAACCCTTAAACACTAAAATACATTTTGGGTCAGCAATGTATGAACTACATGTACCATGCATAATTATACGGTAAATGTTTTACCGCCATTATTTTCACCGAAAACTGTATAATGAGGTTTGACTGTACGTATTGTTAATTAAATTATAATATATATTTGACTGTTAACATATATTATATATATTCAAAATACATACTCAATTCCCGTTAAAGCAAAGAAAAATATGGTCGGTTAAACGAGAGTTGACTGTGATTATAATTAAAGAAACGTGATTCATATATTTTATTTATTAAAAAGTAAGAGCTGATATTGTTTCATTCTGTTCAATTAGCAATAACAAAGTATAGTTTATTTTTTTCATGCACCAATACATAAAAAGATCGTTTACGATTTATATTAATTAAATAACCAATAATGACAAAGTTAAGGTGCATTTAAGTCCATTTTTTTATAAAAAAAAATTACGTGTAATGTTTTCTACCAAATGAATAATTCAAAGTAACCTTAAAAGTGGTTTAAGTTCATGATTATAACTGAATGATTGATCTAAAATTGGAATCTATGACACAAAAAAAATGTCAATAGAATCACTTCTAGTCGTTGCAAATTACATGTATTGTTAACGTTAAACGGCATTTAAGTTTTAATAGCGAACCATGTTATACGTACCGATTCCATCATTAACTTTAGGATCAAGATCTCTAATGTTTTAGATTCTAATAAATTAAAAAGAGAAAAGATCACAGCTATTATGAGGCATAGAAAATTTAACCTCCATATATATAGTCATAATCTCTTTAAGGTCACACTTTTATGGTCCCGATGGTGTGAATATATGGAGGTACGACTGTAGTTACCACTTTCTTCTTGCATTATTTCATCAATTTGTAGATTTCTCGAAAAAAAACTCGGGATGGTATACATGTACTAGTAATAACGATAATGAATTAATGAAATAAAAATAGTTAATTTTATCTTCATTTACTCCACTTGGAGTTTACAAATTGACACTTTAGAACCTCGATATTAATAATAAACTTTATAATAACTATAAATACAAATATGATTTATTGTTATGTTTAGAAATAACGATCCGACTAGTGTAAATTTATTTGAGTATATCGGTATTCATTGTTTTTGCGATTTAATTTCCTCATCAGATTCTTTTAATTTTTATCTTTCTAGTCACACTTAATTTCTTCATGCGATTTAAGATATTCTAAAGACTGTCAATATCTTGATTTATGGCTCTAAATTTTTATTATAATTATAACACTTGCAGTACTGTAATTTACGAGTATGGGAGATCATTGAATTGGTTAACGTCAAATGTTTTAACGCTAACTCTAATACATGTACACTGACCTACGATAAATTACCGTGCATTATTAGCAAATTTTCGATTTTAAAAAGTATCTATAGTTTTTTTTATTTTTACTTAACAACAATATATATAAAATATATGAATAGGAAGAGAAAAAGTTATAGAATAATATTTGTCTAAAAAAATATTAATAATTTAATAATGTGTATGCGATCCTTAGTTTTAATAACAGATGCAACTCGTCGCAGCATACTGGAAATTAAATTGATTACAACATTTAAAGGCACTTTTTGCCATTCTTCCTTCAATGCATCAATTAAATCCTTTTTGGAGGTCGGAAGAAGTTCTCTTTTTCTAATTTGGCGATCTAAATGATCCCATATATGCTCAATTGGGTTTAAACCGGGACTTGACTTTGGGCAGTCCATTCTAAAATTAGAATACTGTGTGTTTGCATCCACCAACGATTATGATGCGAAGTATGACAGGAAGCACCAACCTGCTGAAAAGTTGTATAAGAATGATTATTCATCCAAGGAACCAAATATTTGGAAAGAATATTAATATAACCATCATAATCGAGATTGTTATCAACTTCTACCAAAGGTCCAACAATACATTACCGACAATCCATCAAATTTTACTGTTAGAACCACACAACTTTCTAAGTTTTTTTTCGCCATACTCTTGTACACCCATCTGAATGGAAAAGGGAAAAGCGTGACTCATCTGACTATTCCAGTTTTTCTTTTCTTTGCACCATTGTAAACGTTTATTTTTATGCTGAGTAGTTAAAAGAGATTTATGAGTTGCATAGTAAGATTCAATTGATAATAATTTCATATAATTACGACTGAATTGAGTTATTAATGTATGCATTTAGTTTATTAGTAATTTTAATGAACGAGGCTTTGCAATCTTTTTTTACAGTACGTTTTAAACTTCGTCGGCTACGTTCTGATAAAATTTTTGGTCGTCCAGTACGTTTTACAGTATGTAGCGATAGAGAACCTGTTTCTTAAGTCGAGTAATTGTATCACGTACTGTTTACTTTGGAATACGCAATAGCTGAAGCTTTGCTCTCCATATAACACGCACCAATTATTTGTTCACGAAGTTCTGAGGATAATTCTTTTCGTGGTAAGGACATTATGAATAGAAGAAGAGTGAATAGTGTATATGTAGTGTTTTTGTATACAAATAAAGGATCGAAACAATGTAAAATCTTACTCGATAAAGAATAACGATAATGCATATTGGCATGCACGGTGATTTATCCTAGATCAGATCTTCCATTTGTGTGTTTAATCGATTTGTTTTAAAGCCAAAATGGCACCCGAATTGTTATTGACTTCACACTCAAACAGACTCGAGCAATTTTGTAAAAATTCCAACTATTATGATATTTCGATTATTGTTGGTGAAAATCAACGTACTTTTTCAGCCCACTCGGCAATATTAGTGGCGCAGTCACAATATTCCGCGGTAGCGCTATCTGATGCATGGGTGAAACGAGAACTGAATAAATTGATCATTTTTAAAAAACCGAATATTGAACCTCGAGTTTTTGAAATATTACTAAGGTAATATAATGTTAAAATGAAACGATACTACTTAATAAAGTAATAATTGTCTAATTGAAATTTTAATAGATATATTTACAGTGGAAAAATCGATTTACAAAAACATGGTGTTTCGACACTTTTGGATTTATTAGTCGCAGCTGATGAGTTGATTCTTGAGGAACTTATTGAATATATTCAAATTTATCTTCTCGAATACCACTCTGAATCTTTGATAGAAAGTTTTGCCTTAGTCAACCAAATTGCATTCGAGCATAACTCTTTTACCAAACTTCACGAATTTTGCACAGATATCACATGTCAAAATCCAGCTGCTATTTTTCAGTCAACTGATTTTACCAAGTTACATGAAGCAGCTCTAGTTTGTTTACTCAAACGTGATGATCTAAATTTGAATGAAATCGACCTTTGGGAAAAGGTGCTCGAATGGGGAATCTCTCAGGCTGCAGACGCTGGCAAAATTGATTTGATGATTCCAGCAGAAAAATGGACACATGACGAATTTAAGCAACTCAAGTGCACTCTCGAAAATTGTTTACCACTGATTCGTTTCTTCCACATAATTCAGTCGATTTTTATAATAAAATGATGCCGTATGCTGACATTTGCCAGAAACACTTTATAAAGATTTATTACATCATTATTTAGTTCCAGGAAGTGAAGAACACAAAGCTTCTTTACACACGTTTCGCAAAAACATAACCATCGACTCTTCCGTTCTTTCGCAGAATCAGGTCTCTAAAATAATTTATTGGATTAAAGAACAAAATGATATTCAGAAAAATCAATCAATTGAATTGAAGCTGTGGATTTAAGACAACCGACTTTCATCGTCTTTGTGGTAATAAAGGTCCAACGGTTGTTGCCATTCACGTAAAAGAAGATGATAAATCATT